TTTTGCTGAGGAAGATTGGCCCTGGGCTAACATCCGTGCCCATCTTCCTCTACTTTATATGGGACACCGCCACAGCATGGCTTGACAAGTGGTGCAGCAGTCCGCGCCCGGGGTCCAAACCTGAGAAACCTAGGCCGCTGAAGCAGAGCGTGCAAACTTAACTGCTGCGCCACCAGGCCGGCCCCAGATGTGTTGAATTTTATTAGCTTTTCCATTCTTGAATTGCTGAGTTAAATTCTGCTTGATTGGGATATTTCTTGATGTGGCTGTGGATTCAATTTGTGTAAATTTTATTTAAGACTTTTGAATCTCTGGTAAGTATGATTGTGTATGTGCAATGTGCTATTTTGGTAGCAGGATTAAGCTGATTTTATAAAATAAAGTTGTAATTTGTATGGTTTCAAATGCTCTGGAGCTGTATAAACAGAATTAAATTATATGTTTATTGAAGGCTTAATAGAAGTCATCTAAAGTCCAACTGGGCTCAGACTCTTTTTTATTAAAAGCAATTCTTTTAACATCTTTAAATTTTCTTTGATGAACTATACTGATTTTATTCAGCTTCTGCTGAGAAACAGTGTGTTTGATATGTAAAACATTTAAGAATTTATTTTACATTAATCACACCCAGAAACTATGCAATGTGGAAATCAGCAAGGTTGATTTTATATCATAACAGTTTTCTTTAGGAGAAGAAAATTAGATTAGATGTTCCCTTGGGATGCATTTATTGGTATTAAATTTAGAGAGAAAGATGAATGTTATTATAGTGAAAAACTAGCATTTCTTTTCAAGGATTAATTTTCTTCCCAGCTTTTTATTTTTAAAACTTTTGAATTTATAGAAAAGTTGTAAGAATAAAAGACTTTAATGTATTAATTATTCTTGTTCTTAGGTGCATTTTATCTGGTATTTGAATATATGGACCATGATTTGATGGGACTACTGGAATCAGGCTTGGTTCATTTTAATGAAAATCACATAAAGTCATTTATGAGACAGCTCATGGAAGGTCTGGATTATTGTCACAAGAAGAACTTTTTGCATAGAGACATTAAATGTTCAAATATTCTTCTAAATAACAGGTATGATATGAGTTTGATATATATGTTTAAAATGAATGTTATATAATGTATACGTTGATTCTGTTAAAAGGATTTAAAATTTAGTTATTTCATTGCTCAGACTGTTTTAACGTAATCAACAATTTCACAGCTTGGGCTGTATCTGAAGTTGTGTTAAATATACTTGAGTTAATTAACTTCCAATAATAGTTCGTATTGTACATAAAATAATACTTAGTTGACTTGCTAAGTTTGGTATTCTTCCAAATAATGTGAACGCGTCTTCTTATAATAATGTGATTTCAGCTTTAGGTTAAGAGTAGATTTTAGAATTTTTTTTAAATTCAGAATTCTTTTAAAAGCAGTCATCACAGTTTTAAAGTGAACTTTTTTTGCAGTGTGTATATTCGCGCGCACACATACACATCTGCCACACACACATACATACATACATATTTAAAGTTAAATATTTTACTAACAGCATAACCTGAACTCTTATAATTTTATTGTAATTGGTACTATTTGTTAGTTTAAGTGTGATATACCTGGTCCTGATTTTAGTTAGTAGAAAGTATTCTATACACCTAGCCCCTCTGAGAACTGGAAAATTAAACATAAATTTAAAATGATGTAATTTAGTTCTTGAACATTATTGAATTGAACAAGTAGTTTATCTTATTACTAAGTAGTAGAAATTACCTCATTTTGTTTTATTTCCATTAAAGTGTACTTTTCTAAATAGGAACTGAATAGTACTGAAATATTGTAAACTAGTACTATAATAATAGTAGTAGTAAAAATAATAATAGTACTAGTATAATAATAATGATAGCTGAAATTATCCAAAACAAAATAATTGTTTATCTTATCTTGTGCGTTTTATCTACTTGCCTTTCCTTGTAGGACCTTGGGTACTGCAGTGTGATCAAAGTTAAAGTTTATATAAATGTATTTTTAATTGGTTCTAGGAATAGATTATGAATGTTTATGATCAGTTCAGAGTAGACTAATACCTTTTGTTCATTTCATCTTCCTTCCACCAGAGGGCAGATAAAACTTGCAGATTTTGGACTTGCTCGATTATATAGCTCAGAAGAAAGGTAAGAGGACTTTCAAATATTGTAGACAGTAGCTATACTAAGTTTTAGAAGCTATGCTAAGAATACTTTATTGACAGTTTATTTTTTTTCACAAAAGAGAAGTTTACGTTTCATGGTTAAAAACATGAAATAATGAAATTTTATACCATATTGGGTTGACTAATGTAATTACAAAGTTTTATACATTTATCTCAATTTAAAAATAATTAATTTTTTAACACTTAAAGGTAAATAAAATTTCTTTAATAATGTGCCATTTAAAATGTGACTTAAGTGAACTTATGAATTTTTTAAAAATTCATACTTCAATTTCTAATGCAGATCTAGACATTAAGATGTTTATAATTTTTGTGTTTAGTGAAAGACCTTACTATATGCTTTTCATATTGCATGTTTAAATTTGTAAACTTTATCTTGATTATTATTTTGGACTTCTTTTTTTGTAACTATAGTTGTATCTACAGTTGTTTTTGTTTGTTTTTTAACTCCCTCAAACCTTTTATTTAAACAAGCTTGTGAGGAAGTTCAGTGTATAACTTCTCCATGTGGAGCTTCTTTGGCTAAGGTTGAGTTGTGTATCCTACTTAGCTCCTTTTGTGCCTGGTGGTAGTGAAATATGATTAGAACTAATATGGGATTTCAAAATAAAATATTTTTGTGAAGTTGATTTTCTATAAATAAACTATGGAATTAACTAAGTTGAGTAAAGCTCTAGTTTAGCCCATTCCTTTCCTGTTAGACAGCATTGATTCTTTATTTTCAGATGTAATAGATATATATTTAATTTTGAAATTCTTTATGTATAGCAATTCTGTAATTTCTTAGTGTAACCATAATTTAATATAATGAAATCTCTGTTAATTGGAATTCTTAGAAATAGGGCTTTACTTTCATTGAGCTTTTGCCAGTTTCTGGTTAGTTGAAAAAAATCTTCTTTTGTTAGAATTTTTGAGTGAAAAATCTGTTGATTTTTGAATCTTGCAGTGCCTGTTACATTCTGAAAATTATTTTCTTTGTTTAGTGTTTAGAAGTTTTTAAATGTATGTTTTGGATCCATTAGAGTTCCATGAAACACCTCAGAAACTGTGGTCAGGGGCTGGCCCTGTGGCCTAGCGGTTAGGTTTGCAGCACTCTGCTTTGGCAGCCCAGGTTTGGTTCCTGGGCACGAACCTACACCACTTGTTGGCGGCCATGCTGTGGCAGCAACCCACATACAAAATAGAGGAAGATTGGTGCAGATGTTAGCTCAGGGCAACTCTGAGCAAAAAAAAACAAACTGGTATGGATGGGTTATTATGGAGACGGCTCCAGTCCCCTGTACCTACTTTAGCCAGAGCTTTTCTGATTTTGTTTTACTTACTACAAACAATTCTAATTAATATTTTTATATTTTAATTAATATTTATTTTAATTAATATTTTCACAAATGCTTGTATGGTTTTTTTAAGTTTAAAACTCTTCTAGAGCTTAAAAGCTATAATTTTCATTTTACATTTGAGGAAACTGAGAAGTAGAAAGGGTTGAATGACTTTAGAGATCAAAAAATATTTGTTGGCAGAGTCAAGACTATATAGTTCAAGGTTTCCAACTTCCATTTTTTTATTCTTTTCACCATATATAATAGTGCCTCTTGGTAGAAATTGAAGGAAACATAAATTGGTCCAAATGTCTACTTAATCCAAAACTTTGCTTGAAATACATTTTTTGAATGATTAGATTTCAGTGACAGTTCTTTAGGCGGAAATTCTGCTAATTAAGGATTCTGTTTAGCTGGTTAATTGAGATTTCACTGTAGTTAGATCATATTTTCTTTTTTTTTTTTTAGTAATTTTATTTATTTATTTTTTCCCCCAAAGCCCCAGCAGATAGTTGTAGGTCATTGCTGCACATCCTTCTAGTTGCTGTATGTGGGACGCGGCCTCAGCATGGCCGGAGACGTGGTGCGGCGGTGCGCGCCCAGGATCGAACCCGGGCCGCCAGCAGCGGAGCGCGCGCACTTAACCGCTAAGCCACGGGGCCGGTTTTCTTAATACAAGTTTGTGTCTGTCATAGTTGAATATAAATCCCTCTCCTTTTTTGTTTCTCATGGGCACTTCTCCCCACCGTGTGAAATACAGAGAATCTGAGGAGAGAGGAGAGGGAGAATTCAAAGGCCACCACTAGGAGAGCATGACCAAGTTTGTGTTATAAGGCTCTGGGCAAGAAAAGGCAGCAGAGAGAGGTTGTTGTTGTTGTCAATGTTGGGTGTTTTTACCTCGGGAAGAGGGAGAGGATAATAGGCTAGTGGCAAAAGGGAAGAAAGGAAAAGTGATGTTAACCAGAAATGGAAATGAGCCACAGGAAAACAAAAGGTCATTACGATGACCATATCCCAAATATTGGTTCTGAAATTAGAAAAGAAAAGCGTCCACTATGGTTTCTGACAACTAGGGAGAAACACTAAGGGAAACAAGACAATGAGTTTCCTGTAATTTATTTAGATGTAGTGATGATAATAGAACAACAGCAAGAACTAATTTTTATTGAGTATTTATTATGTGCCAAGCACTGTGCTGAGTGTTTTACAAGTATTACTATCTCATAGTTGTATAACAACTCTATGCATAAGTACTATTATTATACCCATTTTACAGATTTGAAAATGATGCCCATAGAGGTTAAATAACTTGCCCAAGCTAATAGGTGACAGAAGACTTCTAAGATCATGCTCTTAACCACCATGCTGTAATTGCTCTCTACATTGAGATTTGCCTAGAAGACATAATTTCCACATAGAAGTCAGATATTTACTAAATATATGGTATTTCCCATTTAATTATTTTCTATAGCCTCATTTTATATATATTTGCAAAGAAGAAAAGAATTGTCCAGTATAGTATTCCTAGTCTTAAGTGGCCTGAATGGAGGTATTTCCAGCAATGGGGACACTGCTTAAGCAAAATCCCCTTGACTCCTTGTGGCATCTTTTTATGTGCAATTTTACCTCATCTACTAGACAACCTGCTCCTTGTGGGCTGGATTTACAAACACATGGCCCAGGTTCAAGTCAATTTACAGTTTGCATGAACTTGGACAAGTTACTTAATCTCTCTACACCTTAGTTTCCTTATGTGTAAATGGGGATAATATCATAACTATTACAAAATTCCTTCACTGTACTTTGCTCACAGAAGACATTCAGTAAATAATATCCTGTGCTTGTTGCTGTTAATAAACTACTGATGGTTGGTTGAATATCCTTGTGATGAGAGGCTAGTTTCTCCCTGATGTGTTTGCTCTTAGTCCACAGTATTGTTGTACTTTTTGACATTTGATTTTAGCCATATATTGGGATTTAGAATAAAAATATTACTCTCGATAATCTACTGTAATATTGTATATAGGATGAGGTGCATCAGTTCTTATTTTAAAAGGATATTTTTGTTGAAATTTGTTGTTTGGGGTTTTTTTTAAGGCAACTTTATTTCTTTTTTTATTTTTTGATCCCCTTCACCCATTTCTCCCACCCCTGGCAACTACCATTCTGTTCTCTGTATCTTTGTGTTTGTTTGGTTTTTTTTTTAGATTCAACATATAAGAGAGATCATGCAGTATTTGTCTTTCTCTGTCTGACTTATTTCACTTATCATAATAAAAAAAAATCCTTTCTTGTTTTCATGTTAGATTTCAGTGGAGATGCAGAACAGCTGAATTACCATTTTCCATCTCATTCTTTTTATGCAGATATTTCCTCACATTGGAATAGATATGTTCCAGAAAAACTGACTGTAGAGCCAAATTTTATAGATCAAATTCCATTTTTCCATTGATTTCTCCTTTTAAAATGGAATGCTGGGTTTCATTGGAGTGCCAGGGGTGTGATACGTTTACTGAGCCATGGTCCCGATTGCCCTGCTGAACTGATAGAGAAATTTTGAGTTTAGAGAATTATTTATTTATTTATTTATTTTTCCCCCAAAGCCCCAGTAGATAGTTGTATGTCATAGTTGCACATCTTTCTAGTTGCTGTATGTGGGACGCGGCCTCAGCATGGCCGGAGAAGCGATGTGTCAGTGCACGCCCGGGATCCAAACCCGGGCCGCCAGCATCGGAGTGCGAGCACTTAACCGCTAGGCCACGGGGCCGGCCCTAGAGAATTAGAAAATTTAAAATCCCATAACTTTGCATCTTCAGTTAATATATACCGAATTTTTCTGCTTAATTAAATTTGTAAGATAAAACTTGGTGTATCATTTTGTTTCATAAGCAAATATCCTATCCTTCAGGAGTTTATGTACCTCTTTATTTATTTATTTTTTTGTGTGAGGACGATCAGCCGTGAGCTAACATCCGATGCCAATCCTCTTCTTTTTGCCAAGGAAAATTGGCCCTGGGCTAACATCTGTGCCCATCTTCCTCCACTTTATATGGGATGCTGCCACAGTATGTCTTGACAGGCGGTGTGTCAGTGCGTGCCCGGGATCCGAACCTGCGAACCCTCGGGCCGCCGAAGCGGAGCACACGCACTTAACCGCTTTGCCACCAGGCCGGCCCCTATGTACTCCTTTAAAACTTCTCTTTTTCAGATTCTAGTAATTCCAATTTTTTAAATTCAGAGATGTAGGCTTAATTTAGTGGAGTGATTTTAAGATACATATATTGTTCCAGCAAATTTTAATAACACACATCTAATAACACATTCCTAATATTCTAAATTCTGCCTTTAGCAGACTTACTGTATTGTCCCAAATTTTGGATATTTCTTGAAATAAACATATAGCAAATGATTTTTCATTCATATTTCTTTGTTGTTATAAGCAGAAAGAAAGGTAAGGCTTTTTACCATAATATACCTATCCAAATGTTAAGTCATTTTGAAGTATTTTATAAGTAATTAGCTATTATAGATAGCATAACTGAAGTGTTCAAGAAATTACTGCAAAATTTTTTGTTTCAAAATAGCGCAGATTTCAGCTTATCACTGTAATACCACATCTCTCTCACTCATTTGATTTTGGATA